TGCTACAGGAACAAATAAGATAGATAGAGCATTGGAAACAATGAAAAACTTACAGAAAGAGGTCCAAATGATTAATAGTAGAATATCAGAAGTGGACAATATACTGAAAGGGCAAAGGGATAGAATTGAAGAGATAGAAGCCAGAACTAGTGAGCTAGAAGATGGGTCTCTCAACACTACTAAGATAGAAGAACAAACATAACAAAGGATAAAAAAAAAAATCTGAAGAAGGCCTAAGATTCATGTTGGATAACATTAAGAGGGATAACATAAGAATTATTGGCATTCCAGAACAGGAACAATCACACAAGCCCACAGAGGAGATAGTTGAAGAACTTCTGGAAGAAAATTTTCCTAAAATCATGAAAAGTGAAAAGATAAGCATTCAAGAAGCTCAATGAACCCCAGGATGGATAGACCCTAAAAGACAATCACCAAGACATATAATAATCAAGCTCTCCAAAATCAAAGATAAAGACAGCATCTTGAAAGTAGCTAGGGAAAGAGAAATATAACATACAAAGACAAGCAAATCAGATTAAGCTCAGCTCTCTGAACATGCAGGCAAGAAGGCAATGGGGAGACATATATAAAACCCTGAAAGAAAAAACTGCCACCCAAGAATCCTTTACCCAGCAAAGCTGTCAATCAAATACGATGGTGTAATCAAAACATTCCAGGACAAACAGAAGCTAAGGGATTTTGCCAAAGCCAACCCTGCTATGAAAAACATCCTAAAGGAAGTTCTGTGGACTGACAACCAAGAACACACAAAAACTACAGAATGACATACATGGCAGCATCAACCTGAACTCAGTTGACAAATGGAAGAGTCAAGAACAGAGTAAAATTCTAAGAACAGAAGATCTGGGAGGTGAGTCTATGATCAAAACAATTACAGTGTGAAAAAAGGTAAACACAGAGGAACATAGATGCAGGTGGTGGGAAGGTCAGGTAGATTACTGGATAAAATAGACGGTCTTAAATGGAGGGAAGAACTAATGGAATATAATAAGGTAACCACAATGGGGTTGGGGTGGGGTTTTATTTTGGGTGTTGGGGAGGGCAACAAGAAGCAGGGAGGAGGCAGAAGAACATGATTGATAGGGGAACACTGAGACAAGTTTGCATGGCTTAGTGGGACAGAGGTAAATAGTGATGCATACTCAACCTTG